TTTTTTTTTTTGCCCTATTTCCGGTTTATCCGGATTTTCGGATAAACCGGATGCCGGATGATGAGGCCGGATATTCCGGTCACTTAATCCGCCCGGCATTGCTGTGCTACCCAGAAAAATACAGGTCAACTAAGGCACCATATATCTCATGATAAAAAATGGCAAAAAAAAATTCCTGCTATTTTTTTTTTTTTTTAATTTTGTTTAAATCGAATTAAGTTTTTGATTTTTTTAAAATCTTAAACAAAGTCGGATTCCAAAACAAAAAATACAGGAGTGTAGGGTTTTCTAAGCCCTACCCCCCCATATTTTGTTTTTGTTTTTTTTAGTATTTTTAGGAGTAAAAAAACTATATATATAAAAACAAGACCGTGGACTGGGCCTCATTGGCTGCGGCCTCGACCGAGATTCTCGGCCGCAGCGGCCGAAATGCCCGTGGCCTAGGTTGCGGGTGTCACATAGGATGACCCTAACCAGGCTGTTCGACTTGATATGGCAAATAATGACCCTAACCAAGTTATTCGACTTGAAATAGAAAAGGGTGGCCCCTGACAAGGGTTACCCTAAAAATGAGCACTGGGGTCCCCTTGTATGACTGCTTGATAAAGGGTGAATAAGATTGAAATGGATTGAGCAAGGCCGCCAGGGACGGCCGCAAGAAATAGTCATAAAAATAAGATGGGATGGAAAAATAGAAAAGGTCGTCGGGTCGGTCATTGAAGCAGTCTTGTGAAGCGTTGAAAGAGATGGATGTGAATAGACAAGGTCGTCGGTTCGGTCATTGAAGCATCCTTGAGAAGGGTTGAAAGGGATGAATGTGAACGGAAAAGGTTGTCGGGTCGCTCATAAAAAACAGCCTCGAGAAGAGTTGAAAAAGATGGATGTGAATGGGAGTGGTCATTGGGTCGGTCATAAGAAATAACCTCGAGAAGGGCTGAAAGAGATGGATGTGAATGAGAGAGGCCGTCGGGTCGGTCATAAGAAGCAACCTTGATAAGGATTGAAAAAGAACATCAGAATGAGAAGGATGTGGATTGGGAAGACCATTGAGACGATCACGAGAGGTGACTTTTGAGAAAATATGGAGATTGAGGAATGAAGATGGAGCGATGGGTCGGTCATGAGAAGTGACCTTATTGAAAAGAGGCCGCGGGATCGGTCATGAGAAGTGACCCTATTGAAAAGAGGCTGCCCGATCACCCATGAGAATCATCCTTGAGAAGGATTTGAAAAAAGTAATTGATTGACATAAGGTTATAGGGTCAAGATATCGGACATGTTACTCAACATCCAGAACCAGCTCCGGCAACGAGCTCTAGCCGGAGGGTTCAAATTGCGTCTCTCGTTGAGTTCCTAAAACATCCAGAACGTCGAGATGGGCCGAAAGTTTGTTCTTTCAAGTCTTGTTGACCCTCTCCAACCACACACCACGCCGTTGAGAGGCGGTCTGGCCGTTTGGGGTGGACCAAGGCTGCTCACATTAAGTCAAGCGGCACTGTCCAAGGGGAAGGTCGGGGCGAGGTACCGAGTGGAGTCCGCCACCACCACAGGGCATTGACACCGCCCTGCCGGAATATTACAATTGTTCTGGGGACTAACCGCGAGGTCTTCGTAACTGCACTGGCAAACTGATAGAGAGCCCCAACTCTCTTGAAAATGAAGAGGCCGGATCCATAAAACTTACCACTCAGGAGGAACGATTCGCGAGGAAGCCACTTATGGTATGACAGGGTCCTAGGAGGCATGGAATGTACCTACCTGTCAGTTGCGAGGTGGTACCTCAATGATGACGCCTGTCTCCAAGAAAGTGGTCGCCAGACTAAGTCGAGGATGGGGTGAGTTATCAGCAGAAGAAGGAATGATCACCCTCCCTTTTAGGGGCTGATGGGCCGATGTTCATCCACTTAGTTGGCAGGCAAGGTTTGCGTACCTCCGAGTGAGAACCAGTTCCGCGATGAGGATATTGGGATTAAGTGGGGGGAAGGGGTGTCATCTACCCGATGACAAAGCGTGTGAAAAGAATATCAATCAAAAGCATACAAATTTATTGAGCTTGGGCTTGAAAAAGGTTTGGCAAGTTGTCTAGGAAAGAGATGCATGCGAAATTGATGGAGCTTGGGCTTGAGAAAGGTCGGGCAAGATGTTCAGAAAAGAGACTCGTGAGAAATTGGTTAAGTTTGGGTTTGAGAAAGGTTTGGCAAGATATTCAGAAAAGAGACGCATGTGGAATTGATTAAGCTTGGTATTGAAAAAGGTCTGACAAGATGTTCTGAAAACAGATGCGTGTGAAATTGATTGAGCTTGGGCTTGAAAAAGGTCTGACAAGATATGCGAAATTGATTGAGCTTAGACTTGAAAAATGCCTGACAAAATGACCGAAAGAAATTACATGACAGAGACTGCCTGCACACATACCAAGGAAAGTTTGTCGGAATGACCAAGGAGGCTCGTATACAGGACTATCTAAGAAAGGGTTGAGGAAGCTAGCAAAACAAAATGAAAGATTGCAAGAAATAACTTGAGAAGGACTCAAGAGGCCTAGCAAAATGGCCATGAAAAGCACGGGAAAAGACTACATGAAAATTAGAACGGGAAGCCTAACAAGAGACTGAGGGCAGTGAATGAGACCAAATATGGGAAGGGTCAGCAAACGACAAAGAGAATGGGCAAACTAAGAATGAGACCAAAGAGAGGAACAAACAGGACTTGAAAAACGACTAACCCTGAACAGGCCCAAGGCCAGGAAAGAGGGGAGCGTCGCATTTGAGTGAGAGGAAAAAAATTGGCCAAAAACACGGATTGTACGGACCGAAAAGTAAATTGTTGGGATGACTCAAACTTGGGAAAGAAGCACGGATTAGAGAAGGCAGAAGGTGGACAACAAAGAAAAGACATAAGAGAAAAATTGAAAAAGGACCCTGGCAAGCTAACCGCCTATCTTATCTTACTTCCCCACCCTTATCTATCCTTCCCCAAGCCGCCTTTCCCATTAACCACTGATTGGTGCGCTCTGAGGTCATCGCGAATGAGTGGGGGGAACGTATCAGGAGTTGTGGGTCCCGAAACAAGTTCTGACCCTTAAGAGATGGTATATGGCAGAATTGTGTACAACAGAGAAAATTGGAGGCAAGAGAGATAGGAAGGATAAAACGCTACGGCATAAGTGTCGGCGCCTAGGGGCCTAGAGAATGCCCTAGGCCGCCGGAACCACTGGACCTAGACGAGATTAATAGAATAGCATGCGACAAAATGCCGCAAGAGAATATTAAAGACGGTCCTCCTTCCTGGAAGAAGAAGGACCGCCAAAAAAAATATTGTCCTGGGCTGCACGCCACAAGGAGAAGTCAAGGAGGTCAAGAAAATAGTGTTGGGGCACCGGGACATGAGAACGTAGCACGGGGCCAAGAGGGTCACCGGAATGCGGCACAAGAAGGGCCAAAGGGTCATGAGCCAAGTAAAAGGTTGCGGCCGGAAAAACTGGCGCTCGTGGGATATAGAAGAGACCTATGTAGCACTGTGTTGGCGTTTGGAGGCGAACGCGAACATGTTCGTCCAAACGTAAACAAGCGTCAAAAAAACTCCAAACGCGAACATAAAAAATATTAAAAAAACAAAACAAAAATAGTTTTAAAAAAAATATGAAAACAATATATGTTATGTAAAATAACAATATAAGCAACTTTTGCCTTGAAGTCATGATCCAATTTGTAGCCAATCATGAGTTAAAAATCAAAAGCCAATTTTTTATTTTTTTTTTAAGGAAAAAAAATATGTTTGCCCGAACATGTTCACCATGCTACGCAGGAAGAGACTAGAGATGGAGCACCCGTGAGACGGGAAAACGCCAAGAGAAACCGGGACACCACGAGTGAAAGTGTCGGGGATCATATGAGACTAAGTAAAAATAACGTTTTTTTGGGCCAAGTACCGGCGGGACGACCGGTGAGACGAGTGTCGGTGGGACGACCGGTGAGACAAGTGTCGGCGGGACCACCGGTGGGAGAAGTGCAGGGGACCAGCGTGGGACAAGTGGCGAGGACTTGTGATGTCCTAAGGAAGAGTTGTGGAGGACCATGAGAAAAATATACCCAAGGCAAGGGTTACCAGTCCATACGTACGGAGGTCCCCGGACAGACCTCCGTACGTACGGGCGTTCGGGATCCCGTACGGGGTCTGAACCCGACGGCGTTCGGCCCCCGCCAAAAATTATTTCGGGGCGTCAAATACATATATTTTTTTGAATTGTTTTTTGTGAGTTCTCTATGACGTGAGTTACACGCCTATAAATTTTCAAGTCATTTAGCTCAGCCAAATAAGAATTAAAACTAACCAAAGATGGCGGTGTCAAAAAGTGTTTGCCCACGTTCTTTTTCATTTTTTACTTTTTTTTTTCACTTTAGTTGGGGGTCTAAACAATTTTATTATTTTTTTTAACTTTTTTAGTGTGCTTTGCATTATGTGAAGTACATATATGTGAATTTCCAAGGCATTTAGCTATAAAAAAAAAAATTGCCAAGATGGCGGTGTGGAAAACGTGCTCGCGAACTCGCTAAATTTAATTTATTTGTTTGTTATTTTATTTTTATGATTGATATTTGTTTTTTGAATTTTAG